ATTTAGTTGGTATTAGTTAATATGTGTGATGTTTCATATTTATTTTTATTTTGTTTTTAAATTATAGAACGAGTTCTATGTTATAACGTTTTATTAAAACTCAAACTAAAATGGTTTTAGAATTGAAATTGTTTTAGATGATACTTTCTGTGCATGTAATATATTTGTAACACACATCAATATTGTAAAATGAAGACTATAAATACGTTAACTAACACCCTAAATTTAAACATTTCCATCAAAAAAGTTAGATTAATTTGTAGGTACATTTTGGACATAGTTAGACCTAACCATATATCATCATAAGGTGAATTTTTGGATCCTAGACAGACCTAAACAACAAAATTCATATGTTCCAATTTGGACAATTTAATCGGGTCCTGATTAGACCTAATCGTATGATAAGGATGAGACTAAACATGTTAGATAGACAATAGTTGAAACTTGAAAGTCAATAGTCTAATAAAGGATCTAAGAAATATATAAAGATACAATTGGTAGTTGTTATATATCATTTGAACCTATTGTTGTATATAGGATCAACATAGCATATTGATAATCATTCAGCTCAAATATTATCCCTATTATATTGATTTTGACATTAAACATAAGGTTATGGGCGATAAATTAAAAAAAATATATTTAAAGGCTGAAAATACTAAATTTGAACTTTAATATCTTTTACAAATGGCCTCCTCTTACTCATGAGAATGATAAGCTCAATAACTCTTACTTCACAGATTGGCACTGTATATTGAGGATTAGGGATGAGAAAACGGACCGAACCGGCCCGACCCGCGAACCGGCTTTGGCTAAAATCGAGAATCGAACCGGTCCGGCGATTCTACCGGTTCCGGTTTCGAGTCCAGTTTTTGCCGGGTTTTCGATTTTGGAACCGATCTTCGAGAAATAACAACGTATTTTTGGGTTACGGATTCGATTTATTCCCGGTTTTTGTCGGTTTTTGTTTAGTACATATTTTTGTTCAATTAAATACAAACATTAGTGTTTTGACCCATTATTTCTTCGTGTGAGGTGTGATAACGACTACTATAATACTTTTTTTTCTCATTCGTTTGGTTTAAATTAGTTTTAGATTTATATACTTTTTGACTTGTTTTTATTTATTTATATGATACCATTTTATATTGCATAAACTGAGAAAAAGAATAGTATGGAAAACAGAAAATAAAATATGAAAAATGTTTGGGGATTGGTTAGCTTCGGTGTTTATTAGAGCATTTCCAAATTGCATTCATCAATTTTTTTAACAAGTGGATGTTATTAAACACCACTCTAGCATATGCAAAAGAAAAAAAAAATTATAGGGTCCCATCATCTAATTTATTAATTGTAAATATATTAATGTTTATAGTTAAAAATACTTAATAATAAACCATTACTTTCTTCGATACTTGGATTCCTTTGAGATTTTGATGATCGACGTGAAGAACTGAAGATCGATTGGTACTTTGGTAGAGTTCGTGACATTAGGTGATAACCATAAGAATTAAATCATTACTTTCTTTGATCTAATAAGCATCAATGCTCACTAACGGTTTATTTCAATGATATGAGATTCGTATCTATTAACTTAATGTCGGTTAAAAAATGTAGTGCATCGACCAGATAGTACAAATTTATCATAATAGATTTATTTTGAAGATCGTTTTTTTTTTTTTTTTTTTTTTTTTTATTTTTTTTTATTTTTTTAAATCTATGCTGAGTCGGGGTTTACGTCCAAATCAGAATTCCAAATAGCAAAAGATTATCTGGTCCGGTTCCCGGTTTTTGGGCCGGTTCCAACAACCGGTTCATACCGGATCTCGGGTCCAAAATTTGACGAAAATATAGTATCGGTCCCGGCTCGACCGGTTCTATCAGGTTCTGGTTCCGGTACCAGTTTTGGTTCCGAGACTGGTTCTGAACGGTTCCCCAGTTCATATGCTCATCCCTATTGAGGATACTCCACAAACACAAAAAGAATTTACATGTCATTGAGTTTAGGAATAATATTATGCAAGAAATAAACAAATTATCGTACTGTTACATGTAGAAATATAGTGACACATATTAAAAGCCACAAAGATCCAAAGTAAATAATAAATATTTATTATTTATCATATATATATATATATATATATATATATATATATATATATATATATATATATATATATATATATATATAAAGAAGAGTTTTATTTATTATATGTCAATTCACAATAAACTTAAATAAAAGAGAGTTGTTTAAATAATCAAATAGAAGAATTATTTGTAGGGTAATTAATTAATAAAAGTAAATAATTATTTAAGGTTTTTATAAAGAAGAGTTTTATTTATTATATGTCAACTAAACCATAAATCATTCATTTCATAAACCAATAGAGTTGTGACAATATAGAAAATAGTTATCAGAATACAAATAAAAACATCGAATGCAAATCACTGATGGATGCAGTGCAATCATATCAGAACCTCCCCCTTCAAACTAGAGGTACCTGAAACCATAAAAATAAATTGTAAGCACAAAGATTAGTGAATTTTCCCCAAAATGTCACACACCATACTTACATTGGGTCCCGCCCGACATCGAGCCCCATCCGGTATCGGGCCCCGCCAGGTACAGATCTGTCAATAACATGTGGTGGACCCTGCCAAAGACATTTATCAGGCCCTGTTCGACATCGAGCCTTGCCATATATACATAGAAACACATGTAAGAGTCACATAGAGAGCTAGCATTCTATAAGCATAAATCAATGTGTCAACATTGGTGCCTTCGACCTGTAAATACTATGAGGAGACTCACCTTAATATGAAGATAACCGAATCTCACTCATGTTACTGCTACAAAAGATCCCCACGCTGAACATATCAAAACAAACCCTAATTAACAATTAGGTTAATAACCCTTCCAAGGCTAAACCCAACTAACTTGGCCTAAAGCCCAAAATGACTTATTTCAATTTTTAGGAGTACGTCATGCGTACACCTTAACTATGCCTCGCGTACAAGTTTCCACAGAAAAGAAAATGTAGCAAAACCCAATACGCGTTGCGTACTCCAAGGTTACACCTCGCGTAATCCCTTTGATGCCAAAATCGACTTTGAGCTCTTAATACCTAAAGACTAAACGTCCAACTCACAGATTTGACTCTAAAGGGCATCTAAAGTCATGCAATTCCTGAATTTATGACTTTTCATGGCTAGGGAGAGCCCAAAACCAAACCCTAGTTCCATAAGTTCACAAAATGATGAACAATTCATTCATGGGTGGAATATAACCATCAAGATCCGATTTTTATGCCATAAGAACCTTAGAAACACCAAGAAATGCTAATCCTAAGCTTTGGAGTAGCTTTTGCTCACAAGAACTAAAACCTTGGGACCAAAAGCATACAAATCTCTAAACTAACCTAGATCTAAGCCAAAGAATCATAAGTGTGAGAGCTTTATACCTTTTAAGGCTTGCAACTGAAAAGAAAACTCTAGATCTTCAAGCTCCAAGCCCACCAATCCTCAATGATGTTCTTCTTCTTCTTCCACAATAGTCCAAGAACACTCTGAAGGTCCAAAAAAAGCTCTCAAGGATTAGTGTTTCAAAATGACAGAAAGAGGGAGCGGAGGCTAATGATAAGGGAGGCCTTAAGGGTCTAAATGCTAAAAATTATGGTTTTGGAATTTTGTTAGACTATGCCCTACGTACATGCCTAGTACGCCCACCATACTGCATGAAGGTCGTGTTCCACTTAAGTGACTTATGTCTAACGTACATTTCATGGACACCCATAGTAAGGACCAAATTTGAAAAGTTTTAATATTTTGAGCCAAAAGTGGAAATCCTGTTGGATTCATTACTAGAAAAACATTCTTTTACGAAGCGAAAATTATGACACACACTGATAAAGGACGTGCATTTGTGTGGGCCCTAAAAATTAATGTCAGTATTCCAAATTTTGAAGGATAGAGGACACGCATTTGTGCATGCCCTAAAATTAGTGTCAAACAAAACAAAATTAAAAATATTGAGGGCGCTTATTTTAAGTGTGTGTCATCTACAGTTGTCGTTTTTTTTTTTTTTTTTTTTTTTTTTTTTTTTTTTTTTTTTTAACTAAACGCGCGTCTTTAAATAGGGATCCTCTAAAATTCTAAAATTCTAAAAATTTGAATAACCCGCTTCTGCACTCTCTCATCTGGATCGCCTTATCTCTCGTAAAATCGCACAGAGGCATTCTCACCATCCTCTCTTTCTAACCTTAGACACAGCTACTGCCCATTCACGACGATGTCTTCTTACCCTTTCCTTCTTCCTTGCTCCATATTTTTGACCTTCGTCGGAGCTATCTTCTTCTCTCTCGCCGCCACCAACAAACCACGGCCTTATTCATTACCCTAAAAACCAGACTAATCTTTCACCTCGCATAATCTCTCTCATAACACTTAGGTTTTTGGCAATGAAAAAAATCAACCCTTACTCCTTTGATGTGTTCTAATTTCTTATTGTATCTAGGCTAAAATCAACCATTACAGCAGAGCATCTTCTCGTGTAGTGTTTAGAGGCATCGACATCTTCCAACCTTTCTCTGTATAGGCATCGACTCCTAGGTAAGAATAGGTTTCGACATCTTCCAAGGTAAGATAGGGTTCTTCATGTCCTGTAAGTTTAAAAATCATTACTTGATAGTTGCCATAAATGAACCAATCTTTACAAAACATATTGTTTATTTGATTTTAGTTTTCAATGCTAATGGTAATAATGTTGTTGTAGGTATTTCGTTATAGTCAACAACAACATAAAAAATGTCAAAATGTTTGATTTGTTAAACATCAGAAAATTTGTAGACATATCTTATGTGCGGGTTTGTTGGGTGTGGGAGGCATAAAGAAGGGCATGCGGTTGAACACTAGAAACAAACACAACACTGCTACTCTCAGGAACTGGAAACACAACGTGTGTAGGATTATGTTGGTCTCTCTAGTGAAGATCTTGTATACCTATGGATGTAGAGTCCAGAAGACTAATTGACTGGATGAAGAAAGGTATACTGATTCATAAACATTCTCTAGTGCTTTTGAGCTTGATTTTATATTTTTTTATTACTGGTTTTTTTCACGAGTTGTTTTTTTGTAGGTGTGTATGATGCTCTACAGAAGAAATATCTCAGGACACTAATGTTCTCTGTGTGCCAGACAATTAAAGGGCCAGTGATTGAAGAATATTCCTGTAAGTAGTTGTTATAATATAAATGTGTAAGAGGAATTTTACTTGGCTTTACTAAGATCTATAGATGGATCCCCTCGCACAAATGACCACTTCCGACCAGTCCAGGTACTTCCATTTTCGTATTTAGAATTCTATTAACTACCTGAATATACTGAAGCATGTTTGATCAAACCCTACTTCTCAATCTAGTTAATTTCTCAGTATTGTTTGCTTCAATTTAGAGCCAATAATTCCTCCACCACTCCTCTCTGTCGAATAAGATTGAGGTTACAAATGAAAGCTTAATTGTGGTGGATGCACATGATTGGATAAGGATAGTTAAATGATGCGAAGACTCTATACATGAATTAGTTATAATAATGACTAACACATAATGTTTATGAATTTATACACAAATTGTATATTATCTATGAAGTTTTTTGCTGAAAGACAACTATTATCGATTTGATTGATACTATTGGGCCAAATATATAATGTTAACTGGTTCCATTTGTGGCTTTTGATTTCAATGATTGATGATCTGATTCCTTGTTTCGTTTCAGAAAATCCAACATGGTAATTGAGTTGCTTAAAGGCATTCATTTTGTTTCTTCTGTGGAGGCCATTTCTCTTGGCATTCAAGCTTGGATTCATCCTTGGATATTATACGATATTATATCAAATGTTGCAGGAAACTCATGGTAGATTCAGTAACTGTTATCATTTGAACTCAGTTTTGTTTTTAAGTAGTTTCATAGTTGATGTTAAAGAATTCCAAACCTTATATAAACTTTGATCTTATATTATACATTAGGTAACTTTCTTTTGTTCCAATATGCAGGATTTTCAAGAATTACATCCCCTATCTATTACAGGGGAAGAAAATCAAGGATGACTTCCTTAACGCTTCAGTTCAAGATTTGGTAACTTACCTGAATCCAATGTTTCTAGCTTACATAAAAGGAACTGACATCTTAGTTATTCCACATTAAATTTTGTGTATTACATGGGACTGTTTTAGACACAACTAAGTCACTTATATTTCCTCTTCCACTCCTCGCTGCTGCTCATCAACAATTCCTAGCAGGTATGCTCTACATCAATAACATTATATGAATGCTAAAATCAAATGAATAATCATTTATTCTTTTTTGTTTTCATATTGAACAAGCTATAGACATGCAGATGAAAATGGTCTTGATGGTTTAAAGGTTCAGATTATACTATCATATATCTGCTATCCACCTTGTTTATTCTTTGTTTAAATGTTGATAGAGAGTGAAGTATCAAGTGTGTTACCCTGTGATTGATTGATTATAATTAAATTATAAGTGGGTTGTTCCGAAAGGTTTGGGCATCTTGGGTTAGCTGTGACTTTGATAACCTTTGAAGACAGATTTAAACTGTAAGTCTTCCTCATGATAATATTAATTAGCATTACCCGATTTACCCCTATCTTTTTAACTCTGTGGTTTCATGGCTATTTATTAATGCTACAGGTATCAGATTGAGCAGGAACTTGGAACCGAAATCAAACCTACTGCCTTCATCATATACATACTATCATCTTCATCTTGGCTTTGAACCTGGTTGAAGATGAAGAGTGTTATTGAAAGCCAATAAAAATATTGTCAAAGTTAAATGAACATGTTGGCTTTGAAGCTGATGACATTATTTTTTGTAATAATAAAAGTACTTTGATGGAGTTTAATAAAATAAATTTTGTATTTATATATCTGTCTACAGCCGTTTGGTTCGGATATGCCATACACTGCTATCCAGTTCATGGTTATGCATAAAGTGAAAACTTTTGCTTCTGGGTCATCTAAGTCAGGTCAGTGTCAAAGTTTAAATTTTTAAAAAAAAATTATCTTTCAAGTGTAGAAGGGGTATTATGGTTCGAATGACACAGTGAAAACCAAAACACTTGAAAATAAGCAATCTCATACCAAGGGTAAAATTGACAAAACACTTCCAAAGTGCCAAATAGTATTGCAACTGCAGGTAAATACCTGAACATAGGACACAAACAAATAGTAAAGATTACATAGATAGAAACTTCATTATTGTAGCTTTAAGTTTATTTTTTGTATCAAAGTTACAAAGTGTAATTTTTGTTGTTTTTTAGGCTGATGTCAGTGAAAAGCAAGCTAAACTTGGTGATGGAGACTATTATTATGACATGTCATACTTGGTGCCTTATTCAACTTATCAAAACCTGCCACCTGGTACATTTTTTGTAAATCAAACTGAATGATATATATTTTATCATTTAAACTATCATTAAACTATAATACTAGCAAGTGATTAAACTTTTAATACACTTTATCAACCAACCGCAGATGCTGAAGGAGATGGGAACGAGTCTAATTCAACTATTTCTTCTGAGTCTGATGCTAATGGAGTTGTTAATGAAGAATCCCAAAGCCAAAATAACAAAAGATCGGAGATGAGAATGCTTGGGTGCTAATATGGCTGATGTTAATCTTGTCACTATATGTATTAATAAAATGTTTCAACTTTAAGTGCTTACCTTTTAGCTTTATGATTCATAACTCTTTATTTTATTTTAAAATGTAAATACATAGGTGGGTTGTTGATTTGGTTATATAGCTAGGGAAAACCTCTTACTAACAATCTATAATAAGATCCCCTTAATATCATTGTATTACAATTTTTTAACATGATGTTATTGGAATGCCCCCGGTTTGTTGGCTCACGCACATAGTAGTAAAACCTCAACCAGACAATCGAGCAGATCTACAAACCACTAAGCATAACATCATCCTATATACCAGGATACCGATCTGATAGATCACTACAATACAATAGCATGCATAACAGGATATTGAATCCAAAGGGCCCACCATAAACAACTCCAAAAGAAGAATCATACAAGAAGTTGTCAAGATAATATTTTTATACCTCAAATAACTTGCAAAAGGAATGATGATTTTGGATCTCTAAGCTTCACACCAAGCAATGAACCTTCAATTTTCTTTATTCCTTCAAAATGAGTAATAAAACACCAACTTTTCTTCTCAAGAGCTCAAAAACACAAAGTGATGGCTAAGGATCAAATATTTAGGGTTTAGGGCATATGGAGGCTAGTAAGAGGTCAAGCTCACGAGACTTAATGAACTTATATAGGGTTTAAACTCTAAAAATTAGGGTTTCAAGTTGGCCAGATTACACCTAGTGTACGAGGCTCGAACTCGCGATCATACTCCCCGCGTACTAGCCACAAGGACCAAAAATGCAATGTTTTAATTATGAAGGGCTAAAAGGAACATACTTGTTTCAAGTGTTACATCTTTGTTGATGGAGATCCGGTTTCTGAGCCCACACTCTATAGGAGCCTTGTCGAAGCTTTACAATATCTGACCTTTACTCGTCCGGATATTTCTTATGTTGTCTAGAAGGTTTGTCTCTATATGCATGGTCCGTGTGTTCCACAGTTCCTTGCTCTTGAACATATTCTCAAGTACCTCAAATGTACTCTAATCGACGACATTCATATTCATTCGTCAGTCATGCATCGCCTGGGCTCGTACTCTGATGTTGATTGGGTCGGTTGCTCTATGACACACTGTGTATATCTTGGCGACAATATCATATCTTGGTCATCAAAACGACATCATGGTGTATCCTGCTCAAGTGCCGAAGTTGGGTACTAGGGGTAGCTAATGTTGATGTTAATGTTGTTTGGCTTCAAAATCTTCTTCTTGAACTATCGTGCCCTCGTTCTAGAGCCACTGTTGTTTTTTGTGATAATTTCAGTGCCATATATTTAGCCTCAAACCCTGTACAACACCAACATACCAAGCATTTGGAAATAGATTTACCTTTTGTTAGGGAACGTGTTGCGATTGATCATGTGCATGTTTTGCCCGTACCGTCCGCTTATTAGTATGTCGATATCTTTACAAAGGGTCTTCCTACACAGCTATTTTTAGATTTTAGAAATAGTCTGACTATTCGACAACTCAGACAGACTATAGGGGTGTGTTAAATTATTGTTATTTACTTTGTTCTTTTGTATATAGTATAGGGCCCTTTATGTAACTTGTATCAAACAATAAGGGGGTTTTCCACAATATCAAACAATACGAACTCTCGCATGTGTGATATATAACTTTAAAGTGTGGAATATTACTCGTTCCTCTTTAGTTTTATTTGAGAATGTTAATTTGCTTTGGCTAGATTAAACGGTGATCACTTTCTCATTCCACATACTTTCCTTTTTTTTGGGTGGGGCTTGCTGATTGCGAATGTCATTTTCATGCATTATTTTAATCGTGTTCTACTCATTTTCATTGCATGTTGTACATACATTCCATGCATTTTATCATTTATTGGGATCGAATTACACATTTTTATGGAATCAATATACGCAATAGGTACTTTGGTGTATATATTAGGCATGGTGCCGTGCAACGAAGCATGTGCATATATAAATTTCGAAGACCTAACAACTTTTGGTGAGAATCCTTAACTATTCAATCCTTAACTATTCTTGAGTTGATTCGGATGACATATCGTCATATCTATGTAATGTAGGATATTATGCATATTATAGATTGTGTAATTTGTGGTTGATATATTATTCATTTATTCTACCACAGGTTTTTATTTTATTATGAGAAGTAATAATTGGTTCGCTTGCATTGGCTTTAAAAGTTGTTTACCAAAAAAATCTAAGGTTGATGTCTTGTAAACAACATAATGTTTTTTATTTCTATAAACCACAAGCTAATTTATTTTTAAATAACTATTTATGTCTTTCATGATATTTAAACTTATTACATCTCATTTGTGAGAGTTGTTATTTATAAATATGTTAGTTTGTCGTTTCACTAGGATACCAGACATATGTGGCATAAGGAGCTAGACTTAATCGGTTGAATTCTCCAAATTTTTATTTTTTTATTTTTTATTTCATTTTTTGAATTAATTTAATGTATCAACAAGTCACCATAATTATATTATCAAAATAACTATATAATATATTAAGTGAAGCAATTTGGAAGACTATAAGTTTGTGAATATACTATACTTTGCTTGATCCTTGTCTCCTTGACATATTTCACATTTTGTTGTTTTTGTTAAATTTATTAGCTTGATAGTTGAATAAAAGAATATAACCAAACACAATAGATTTTATCTAAATGATTTGAAATTAAGGTCTTTTTAACTCAAACCCTCATCTGTTGTAGCTTTTATTTAGTGGCCGTCAAAAAACATAATTCATATAAAAAGCAAGTAATTAGTCGAGTCTCCTTGATTGGTGATGATTTTATGATGTGTTAGGTACAGAAAAGCATACGATGTTTTGAAATAATAACATGGTAGGATCATGTGGATGTGAATCTTAACTATTTCAAATTTTTTCTAAAAATAATATAATAAACGTTTTATTTATGTCATCCTAGTGAATTCCGGTCAACCCATTTATTCATTTAAATAGTATTGTAAGCAGAGTTCTAAGTAATGTTAGTTGAAACTTTGACGATAATGTTAATTTTTAAGTTTTTACGAGTCTTGTCGTTTATAAGACATGATTTTAGGCAACAATTATGTATATAATTAATAAGTCTATATATTTTTTCTATTATTATTCTGTTTTATATATGTACATATGACTTAAGGTGACATCTTATTAAAGCGTGAAGTCAAGTACAAACTTTGAAGACATAACGAACTTTTTAAAACATTGATTATTAGCAAGGGTTTTAAGCTATTGCGATATAGCGGGAGCTCAAGTAATATTTTTTTTATAGAAAACTACAGATCTACCCAAATTTATTAATGATTTTTCATTAAATAGTAAAAAATTAGTATTTTCAGAAAATAATCAATAAAATCGATAGGTGATTAAGCTCACATGCTATTTAAGTCTTCCCAACTCCTATCTTGCTATAATGGGCTACGAACTAGACCCATTTCGGTCCATGGATTAGAAATATATAAACCTAGGGATGAGCAAATGGACCGGGGAACCGGCCGGAACCGGAACCGGAACCGGTACCCGATGGAACCGGTCGGGCCGGGACCGGGACGTTATTTTTGTAGATTTTTGGAACCGGGAACCGGTAGGAGCCGGAACCGATATAACCAGAACCGGTAGAACCGGCAAAAACCGGAACCGTATGATGTTATTTTTCAAGGACCGGTTCCAACATTTGAAGACACGACAAGAACCGGTAGGAACCGGACCGATAGAACCGCCGGGCCGGTTCGGTTCTTGATTTTGGCCGAAGCCGGTTCCCGGTTCCGGCCGGTTCGGTCCTTTTGCTCATCCCTATATAAACCTAGGGATGAGCTTTGGAACCGGACCGGTTCGGAACCGAAACCGGTTTTCGTATATTATAAGAACCGGGAACCGGACCGCCGGTTCTAGCGCCGGTTCCGGTTCCGGTCCCGGTCCCGGTTTTTCGGTTATTTTTCAAAGTAGAACCGGTTGAAATACTATAGATTATATGCTATCTTCTGGAGCTTGTAAATGATTCAATATTTAACCAAATTATGACTTTTTACATTCTAAATTGAAGTACAAACACTAAATTACATGTTGAAAAAAGAAT